GTCCTTTAATCATTCTGAATGTTTTGCTCCAACTTCAGTGTGCTGGGAGTACCATGCATGAGTCTATAAATTGTACAGAAAAAAAAGCAAGGAAGATGCCTCCTCATTTAATTTTTGAACCATCTGATTACTGTTCAGTGAATATCAGATCCAATATGACATTCATCAACTAATTTCCTTTTGACAAAAGAAAATGCTTATGCAAACAAAACACAGCCAGAATGAAAAAGAGAATGACACCACTGATGGAAAGATGCTCAGAAGAATAGAGTGGCAGTTATATAGTAATACGCAGTTGGGTTACCAAGTCTCATAAAAAAAAAATACATAAGATATACAGATACTCAAATAATGGGTATCAGATTCCTGTTCTGGCTCAGTATTTGACTGCATACAATTTCTCAAGAAAAAGAAAAGCCAGATAACCTAGATTATAGATTTTTTTTTTTTTATTGTTATAACCAGCTTTATTGTATAATGGAGACAATTCAGTTGCTAGGTAGAAATGTAACACATATTTTTCCTTTTAGAGCATTCTCAAAGCTGTATTGCATGTCATAGATAAATTCATTATATATAGCTAAGGTGAAGAATTTTTATTTTATCCATTCATATATTACTTATTATAAGTTGTTGAATACACATTATGGCATTTGTCACAAGGTAAAAAAAAATCTTGGCTTTCTTGATGCTAAGGACAACAATGCTAAAATCATTTATTCTGTTCCAACTAAAGGAAATGTTTTAGAGAAAGAAAGCAAGTGCCTCATTTGTACAGAGATATTCACAATATAACTAATATTATGGTCTAAAATAGATGTAAATAAGAAATCATTTGTAAAAATTCAGAGGGCCATAATTTAGTAAAATGTCTACTATAGGTTGTTAAAGTGTACAAAATCAGACAAGCAAAATAATTACTTGATTTTTTTCAATATATATTTCCATTCTGTTCCTTGGAATTTCACTAGTTCTAGAACAAAAATGCACCTTGAATTGCATTTATCTATTTAAAATTATCTAGTAAAAATGGCTCCTACAAGGCAAACTAAAATTGAGAAACATCAACAGGGGCTGCAATGTCAAAATTTGACTTCTCATTTTCATGAAGTTCATAATGCTCTATATAAGCATGACTACAACCACCCATACTCATTACTTGTAACTCAGACAAAAAGATACTATACATTAGAAAGATAATCATTTTTTCCTACATGAATAATACATTTGCAGACTTTAATCTCACAACAATGATGTGAAGGACCTTGTACATCTCCTGATAAGCCATCATGCAAGAGATTGTCCGCTCAGTTAAATTTGATTTCTTTCACAGAATAAATATTACAAAGAGAAGATTTTCTTTCACACAGGTGAGCACAGAAGATAGCTCCTTCAAGAACTCCACACGATGCAATCAGTAGAAAAACAGTGGAACACAGAAAATAAGAATTCTCAACTTCTTTTGATACAAGATGACATCAAATTATTATTAGTGTCTAAAATGTCAATACTCTAATTGTCTAATTATACAATGAAGTTACAGTATCTTATGCATTAAAAAAAAAAAAAAAACTTTTTCCCCCACTCCTCCCATCCAGTTTGAAGATTATTTAACACCAAAAAAATCCTCTCTGTTCAGTAACCTTGGTAAAAAATAATAATCATAATTAAAAAAAAAAAAAAAAAAACACAAGATGGAATGGTATGTTCTAGTATTTTATTTAGCCTAGTGTTTGGAATGGCAAAGCTTAAGACGAAGGGTCTTCTCTTCCTTGTCTGACAAGGCATTGAAACTTACAGGAGTTGTGCATTCAAATAAAATTGACAGGAAAAGTTTAGGGGTTTAAATCTTATTTACTGGCACACTTGGATATACAGGAATATGTTCATTGCATAATTTTTACATATTAATGAAATTGTTTCTCAAACTGCTTGCACAGACATTTTTATGTAATAGCACAGTTACTAAGTACTCAAGATGTAAAAATAAATCCTTTTTATGTTAGAGCCATTTGAAATCATTCACTGCCTTACAGAAATGTATTTTCTGGAATTTTTTAAAATACTTGATAGAAGCAAAATCAAATACAAAGTTGAAGTGTTACACAAGTACGTCACACAGCTATGAGCCAGCTAATTTAAAATTAGCTGAGAATATTAATGCAACAACTCCTTAACTCCTAATAAATTGCTTTGATTCATAACAGCAAAAAGCAATGTATCTTTAAAAAAAATATATATATGCTACTAATATGGAGATATTTACATCAATATGAAAATATACTATCATAGAAAAGGGTAGAAGAGGTTGGCAGGACACCATTAAGAGCAAATATTCAGTTACTATGAAAAAAACATTCTTCTAAAAAGGCATGTAAAAGATTTTATTTTGATGCTTCTACTTCTTCAATTAAAAATAACATTTACAACACGCTTCAATTTTAATTTAGTCTTGATTCATTACACTTCCAAAATTGAGACACAATAAATTCCAAATGAAAGGTTCAGTTCTGTTTTCTTGTTTTCATTCAAAAATTGCCTATATTAAAGTAGTTGTATAATACAGTTTTCTATGTTGCTCTGATATTCAATCTTTATGAAAGAAATAGGAGAAGGACAGTTGCATTCAACTCTGAAATAAAATCACACTTCAGGCATATACAATGAGATTCCTAGAGACACAGTAATGAATACAAAGTAAGCCACAGCCAAACTTTTGACCCAGGTGTCAGAATGCAATGCACACAACTGAACATATACAAACCTCACCATTTGCTGCCTCTGATTAACATGCTCATATAAAATTACACTTCTTTTTCCTTACATATATCTATAACTATAGATAACTTGCTTATAACTACAAATTGATTAGCTTCAGGAAGAAGAAGAAATATTTTCACTGTATACATAAATCAATCTTATTTTCTAAAACTTCCTTTAAAAAACAAAAAACAAAAAAAACAAAACAAAACAAAACAAAAAACCACATTTTCTTCATAGAAACAATTCAGGATTGAAAAATATTCCTCCCAAATCAGCCAAGGAAAAAAATTTAAAAAAAGAAAAAAGAAAAATTAAGCTAAGCATTATCATCTACTCATTACATTCCACCTACTTTTATAGAAGTTCACCACATGTGAAGTCACTAAATGGCATGAAGAAAGACAGTAAAAGCTGAAATTTCAGTAGAACTTGGCTTCTTCTTTTGCACCATACACTATGACAAAACAGTCTTCTCTGCAATGTAGCTGATAAACTAAATACTATAAAAGCAGATTTCATGCAAAACGATAAAAAAAGACCCATGTTGTAGTAAGATTTAAAGACTTCCATTAAAGCTTTTCCTTTTTTGCTGCACAGGATGAGAAAATATTCAGTACAGCTGAAAAAGCCTTTTTTTTCTTTGCCTGGACATCAATTACATAACTTTCCCAAACAGAAATTAACATGAATATTTAACACTTTTCCTTCAATTGGTTAATCTCAGAAAGATGATACAAGCATGAACAATGAAGTAAAAGGCAAAGAAAACTTGACTTCTTATTATTGTCACATTGAAGTGGGAAGTATTTTATAACTGGCTGCTTTTTTGTTTCCTTTTAAAATGTTTGTCACAGTAAAAATTACTTCAAGAGGATTGATACTGTTTATACTACATTTGGATTAAGGGACCTCAACTAAAAGCTCACAAACGCTCAACTGTGATCAAAAAGAACAACCTCACCCAGACAAGTTCAAATGATTTCTGTCTAGGCAGACGTCATGTTGCAAATACATCATCTCATCACCAACTCCTTTGTTCTGCACATAGTGAACAGAATCCAGTTTTCCTGAGCTTAAATATATCACAGTCTCAAGTCCTGACTGAGAAATATTTTAAGATATTAGAGTAATACTCCTTATTTTCTTTCCCACGGTCATTAAAACGTTGAAGACAGAACTAGTTTCATATGTTCCGAGTAGGATCTATTAAAAATACAAATGTTATTTAAACTGTTGCCCAAAATGTGCAAAGATCTCCCTAAGCATCTCTTTACTACTACAAGCATTGCTAGCAGCCAATTCCAGCTGGAAACAGATAAAACGAAAAGAAAATAAATAAATAAACAAATCAAGTCCAGACTTCTAGAACAGTACAACAAAAGCCACCCAGAGCAATCAAATGACAAAAGAAATTAACTAGTTACAACAAAAATAATTAATCCTATCAACACAGGATCAAATCCTCCATCAAGGATTTAGTTTCCTTACACCCGCAGATCAATGTAAGAGTTTGCAGAAATATTATCCTGCAATTTTCCCATTATCCAATGAAAAGGAATAGAAGGGGAAGTTAGAATCTCGGGATGAAAAAACACAACCATTGTCTCAGTATCAAAGTTCTTTTTTTTTTTCTTTTAAACATACAAACAGTAACACATGAAAGATGATGGGCAAATATATCACCCTCTGCTGGATTCCTGAAAAGCCATCTATATTTTCCTTGCTGCACAAATCTTTCACAACATATGCGATAGTCCCTTCAAAAATGCATTTTCTTATTCACTTTTCATCGTTATTAAATTTATTAAATTTAATGTGCCTGATCTTTTTTTATTATTATTATAAAAAACGGTCTAAGCCAAAGCTACATGCAAATCCAAGAGATTCCTCACCATAAAGAAGATAGTCAAACAGATAAACTGTTCACATTGAAGTACAGTAGCTCAGTGACTGCTATCAAGTCTTTAAGTAAGCTAAACAATTCTGGGGATACATTGGAGGAAAAAAAAAAGATATTCTCCTTTAGCAGATGAACTGTTATTTTGATTTTCCATCAAGTTCACACCATAGAATAGAGTCTAAAATAATACAGAAGTTACTAAATTGGTTTGCTGCAGAATTCTAATTCCTTCTAATTATTCTTCAAACAACTATAACAACATCATAAAGTATATTTATAAATTTTAAGGATTTCTTCTTTCAAAACATATTGTAAGAGCAGAGAAAGATTTACTTACCTGATCCTCTTTTGGTCACAACCTTCAAGCTCTGAGTTAGAGTAGCATACAAGAGAATCAAGTTTGGAATAGGAACTTTCATCTTCTCTCTTTCCACAGCTGCTCCCTAGAGTACCATAAAGGAAAAAAAAAGAAAACATTAGCTTTATGTTGGTATTTAAACAACTGTGTAGTAATTAATCATAATACTGGCTTTGAAGAAACGTTAAATACAGTTCTCTTTTAGCAACTTAATGCACCAAAATGATTCCTTTTTACTGAAAAGGATATGTAAACTGAAATCACCTAAAGGAAAACACGTACACACACTGCATTTAAATCTAGAGCTGTAGTTCTAATTTTGTAGATACACTGAAAATTCACCATGTCCCTGTTAAAACCTTCTAACAGATCTCCTGAAACACTTTTGATGAATTTGTTATATGAAAAATGGTGTTTTCACTAAGCTTCTGAAAAGAAGGAAAGAAAGAAAATAATACCCTTCTGCACTGGTTTCCTTCCATTTATTCATTCTACAGACTGAGCACAAAATTCACAATGAAAAGAGCCATTAATTACAAACAAATTTGGTCATCGTCTTAGGAACAGGGAACCATAATAGCCCACCAGAGACTCTTCTAAGTTCCTTTTATATGAACTGAAAGCATATATGCAAGATTAAACACATTCACTGCAGCTAACAAGAACATTATTAGGATGGGAGAGAAGAATCAGGTTGTGGTTCAGCCTTCACCTCTTCAGATGTAAACAAAGATTTCCATTTCTACTCCTAGAATCACAAATACCTCTAAGATCACTTAATCCAACTGTCAACCCATACTTGTGATCACTCTAGACCATGTCCTCAGCACATAAACGTTTCTACTTCTACTGCTCACATTCTCAGGAGTAAATAGTATGAGCAGCAGGTGAAAATGGAGAGCACACATTTTGTTAATTCAGAGAATGTAGTGATGTAATCTAGTCATAATATTCTTCCAGCTTTGTTCTGAAACAGCTGCTAGGACTAACAACCTACATTTTAATATTTTAATTTGTGAAGGGAGCTAAGCTTTCTGGCTAATTCGTCTAGAAGGTATAGTGTATCTATACTCATGATAGCATGTATTTTATGTAAAGTCTTATATAACAAAAGAAAAGGCTGTGATCAATGGTTCTTGAAATTTCTAAGAAAGACTCAGATGAAACCAACATAGTTTTGATATTGACCTCTGCTGATCACAGTGCTGTACAGCATTTGAAAACATTCTCAAAAGGAACCACACAGTTCAAGGATTGATTTAAAATGAGATCATGCATCTTTTGCACTTTCGTTGGCAGTCATGTTACTGAGTACCTAAGACGTTTCTGAAAGCAGTATCTTAAAATAGCTTTATTTTAGAAGAGAACAGGTTGGAAATAAAAAATAGTGGAGGCGTTGAAGAACACATTATGGGAAGAATTACTTAAACAATGATGACTCCTAAAGAATCTATCTTCAGAAGTGTTAGATTTCAAGCTATTTGAGAAGTGCAAACCTAATGCATTCATTATCATGGCTTTATCAAAGATGAGTGAGAAAACAGTTTGAAAACAGCAGATTTTGATACCTAATTTTTGATAATGTTATTTATAAACAAAGAGATAAAAAGTAATAGTAATATATTTGCTCATTCACTGGCTGTGAACTAACACTAGCACTTTGGCACTGCAGGTTAAGGACTAAAATTTATCTATATTCATATACCTTAGAAAAGTTAGACAATAAATTGCCTATCAGCAAAGGAATTAAATGTCACAGATGGAATTTCTCCAAGTTAAATTTGGAGCAATATGAACATTTTTAGTCAAGATTATTTAAATAAATAATGTGACCACAGACATAATAAATGACATAGAAACTTTGCATTTTGAAAGCCAGAAACAAAGGTTAATTTTCCAGGAAACAATGAATAGATATCACAAAGCGTTATGCAACATTTTACTGCAGACTTGACTCAGGCATTTATAAAATCAAAATCCCATTTCTCTCTGCACTAACTGATACCGCAGGAAATCCTGAAGCTGTTATCTTCAGCCTCAAGGGTACTAGTGAGAGTCAGCACCTTGCTCTGTGTGAGCCTAATAAATACTGTCTAAAGAACAGCAGTAGCTTATTATACATTTACAAATTCAGTAAATAGCTTCTGACTGGGAAAGTAGATCCAAAAACATTTTTACTGACCAACCATAAAATATATATATATTGCTGATAGCTTTGAAATAAACATAAATAAGCATACCTACACACATATACGTTTGTATTTCTGTATACATATATTTGTAAAAGAAGCACGAAGCAAAAGCTATAAAACTTGAAGCTAGCAAAGAAAGCCTTTGTAATATAAGAATATCAATGAGAAATGGCTCTTTCAACTAAATTCTTGTTGTGGTCCATTTATATTTCAGTCATTTATGTTGACAAGTCTGCTTAAAAAAAAAAAAAAAAAAAAAAATTGTCTTTATAACAAATTAATTGCATTTAAAATATCGTTCCACTGTAGAATCCATTCCCATTTACATTTATTCTCAAAGATTAAGGTCTAACTTAAAGGCATAAGCAAGATAGGCTGCAGGCAACTTTGCTTGTAGTAAATCCCCAGAAAGTAAGATCTGCTGTTGTCTATGAGATACCAGAAAGTAGTTTCCACTAAAGGGTGTGAAGGAAGAAAATGGCTTCCAGCACTACCCTTTACCTCCACAGAGCACTACGAGCACTAAAGCAGATCATATCCCCTTCTCCCCAAGGGTCTTTCAACCCTTCTGTTTCCACTACCCTTCCTGCAGCAGAATTTATTGGCTGGCCTTTTCTTCATTTTAAAAATCAAAAACACAAGCAAGCTAAAGATTGCTGGATTGCTATAGTGGAGTTGGTGCTTTATACCTTTGAACGTCATTAAGGAAGCTGTGGAATCTGGCTCACATCATTCTCATGACTGATTCAAAGCAGGTGCTTAACATCACTTGTCTCCTGTTCCAGGTGAATGCCTCAGCAACTGACTAGTCTAGAAAATGTCACCTTGTTGAAACTGCTTGCAAAGATAAAATAAGCAAGTCAAAGGAAATTAAAAAGAAACATCCCAAGGGAGATCTTATAATGCACTGAAAATTCTTTTGCTACCGTAATGAGCACATCTGAGGACTGTATTCTGTAATGCATTGCTAGGTTTTAAACTGAAAAACAAAAGGCATAATTCTATGAAATCCAATTCTTAACACTAACTTTAAGTGATACGTAATCATTGGAAACAGCCTTTTTTCAGCAATTAGTTTTTACTAGTTGTTTACGAGTAAACAGGCAGGAATTTATTAATTAAAAAAATATATATCTGATTTAAAATGGAAATAGCAGAAGTTTGCTGTTTTTGGAAGCAGTAGGCAGATACACAGATGATACATGCACATACAAAAGGCTTTCTTACCTTTTTTTTTTTGGTTAATTCTTCCAGAAAATTAAGACAACATATGGTAGTTACAAACTTCATTGCTGCTTCTGAAGTTCTCAAGTATGAACACCAGTATATCATACAAACTCTCTAGTTATAAGACTGCTTGACTCTGGGTGAATAGTAGACTAACACTGCATTTTAGAATGAGGGATTTTTCCTTGCACTTCTTTATACAATTGCTCTGTGTAGTATTCACCATTTCAGAAGTGCAGCACTGGGTTATTTGTTTGCATGAAGCACAATATGAAATCCTGTTGAATATTTGTGAATAAAGGTGTTCCAAACAAATTTTAACTTGGCATGTTATTCATTTTAAAAATTATTTTTGGTAGAAAGTGTCATTGCTTAAAACAAAAATGATATAGGAAGCCTCTAGCATCTGTATTGCTGAGTATCTCAGTTTCCAGTTGAGTCAGAAACAGAAATACAGCTGTGTCTCAACACTAACGTTCCTTGGGGTAATGCCAAGCATGATTTTTTTTCTTAAGTTGTCATAAATACTCACTGTGAGGAGAATGCATAGCCTTACACACGTGCTCCCAAAAACAGCTCAGCAGAAATTAAATTAACCACAGTAAAGCAATTCCTGATAAGGAAACAAAATGGGGGGAAATATATATATATCTTCTCCTAATTTTACTTATGTTCATTTTGGGTCCTTCCCAAAACCTAAATTATACTTACTTGATATAGGAAATTTTCTACTGGCTCAGTCTCTAACTGTAAATTTACAGTTTTGTTTTTCAGCTTTAGTCTATGAATGCTAGCTACTGTCCATCAGCTAATTATCTGAAAATCATTTTCTTCCTGCGCTGCCTTTTTAACTTGGAAGGATATTCTTTTATACATGTTCCAAACTGCTTCATTATCTTCCATCCTATCCCCTTCATAGAAGAAAAAAGGACTCGTGATCCCTGAAAAATACTTCACAACTGTTCTGTAACAATGGGTTTTAGAGAAGACTTATCAAACTATCTAGAATTGTGAAATTGTTTCTCACTGGTCTGTCCAGCCATACATGTTTTGACACGTATTTTCATTGTAAGCATGGGAAAAAGGCCTCTTACTTCAGGCACTATACCTGTCCCAAATATTGAACTATAGGGTTCATTTGTCATGAATGTGACAATGAAAGTGCTATATTAGTTAATAAGATTAGTTTGCTAATGATACGGACTCTGTCCAACATGCAAGATACTGCAGAAATGATGATTTGACTAGAATTAACTTCATTCTGTAACTCTCCTATGCATGAAAACATAATCTGCTATTCCCAAAATTTTAGACAAACAAACCTGCTTTGTTTTAAAAATAGAAAGTAGTTAAAGGATTTTATAAGGAACAAACCTACTTTCAAAACTAGACAATTGTCTGGCCTACTATTTGTTTTCCATTTTCGAGTGAAACAATGTCATTGCAGCATTTGCACTTAAGGTAATGGACCAGCAAACATACTTTGCACGCAATTTGCGTTGTTTAACGTGTTCCCAATGATGTTATTAAGTGACCTTCTGTGCGGTACATAGTGGTCAAGATTTCTGGATATTGCTTTGTCTGTTAAGAAAGGAACAAATGGTAGCAGATTGCAGATAACTGAAATGTCATACACCATAAACTTGAGCATCCGCTACTGAATAAA